AAAATATTGTTTTTTCCTGCAGAAAACGTACACTTTTATTTAATGTTTATTAAAATTACATCTCAAAAACTAGTTAAGGATTGAAATATTGATATGGAACATAGAAATAGAGTGTTTTGCCAAAAATTACCAAAAATTTCCAAAATTCGAGATAACTTATTTTACTGGATATAGAGAAATAGTTTGCCACGTTTCACTTGCCTGGCCGAGATTTCTTCATCTTAAGATTTTAAAATTTTTGGGTCGGATTGAAAAAGTTGCGCTTGCGGGTGATGAATTTGCGGGGAGATGTGCTGCGGTTGTTTTTATGAATGAATTTACTTGGCCTTGAGAAATGCGCGCATGCATTTATGAAAGAAATAGTTATTGTTGTATTTGAGTATGCGTGTGATTATGTGTATATGTATGTATGCTGCCGTGAGTTGTAGATGTGTACATTTGTATGTATGTGCGTAGCATTTTGGCAGTAATATGCACATATGTACATACATATATATGTATGCATGTAAAAACGTTATCAATTAATGTTAAATTTATTTCGCCTCTGGCTGGGCTCTGTTAAAATTCGATTGACTCTGGCTGGCCGCTCTTAAAATGCGCTTCGCCAGTTTTGTTGGTATTTGACAGTTTCCACGCTGATTCCTTCTTGGAGCTTCTCAATAAATATACGTTCTCTGATGTACAGTATCGGTCATATCTATAGCACGGCATTTCAAAGTGATATTGTGTGCAACTTATGTTTATTTATTTATTTTTGAGAATTTTCAATTAAAATACAGTTTCCTTTTTGGTTGTTGTTGTTTTCGACAGGGTGGGTGTATGATGTATTATGGAACTAATTTCCGTCATCCCTTGTCATATTTGGTTTGGAGACAAACCGGTTTCGGCGTTGTGCCGAAAAATGACACTGAAGATGAACCGGTTTGTCTCCAAACCAAATTTGACAAGGGATAAAATACAGTTCTTTCTCTAATAAACCCTATATAAACCCCAAGTTTAAAAATTTGTAGAAAACTTCAAAAAAGTGCAACAAATTTTCACCTAAATTCCAAACTTTTTTATCGAGGGTGTTTGAATTTTTCTGAATACACAGTTTTATAGCCCAATCAATTTTAGTCTGATAATGTGCAAGTTTGAAGTGACTAAAAGTTACCGTTGATTTTTTAGAATTTTTTTCCCCAAAGGTGTTGCGGTTTTTATCCATATACAAATAAATTGAGTTTATTCATTATATGAAAGCCAATGCGAAAAAGAATTTCTAAAAAATTAACGGTAATTCGTAGCCACTTGAAATTTGCACATTATCAGACTAAAATTGCACTGTGTACTCAAAAAATTCTAACACTTCCGAGAAAAAAGTTTGAAACTTAGGTGAAAATTTGTTGCCATTTTTTGAAGTTTTCTACAAATTGTTAAACTTGGGTTTATATGGGGTTTGTTAGAGAAAGAACTGTATTTTAATTGAAAATTCTTAAAAATAAATAAATAACCATAAGTGGCACACAATATCACTTTGAAATGGCGTGCTATAGATATGACCGATACTGTATGTGTGTAAAAAATGTCAATTCCAGTTTGTGTTTAATCCATTTTAGCGGACATAGTTTTTTTGGTTTCAGCTGGTTCCAACTGTTAATGAAGCACAATTGTTCTGGTTAATCTTGATGAAAGTTACATGTATCGTCGAGAACATGGTTACATGTAGAATAACTTCTTGCACTAGAAAAGATATGAAAACTGCATTATTTCCATAAATAACGAAAATATTGAAAATTTTCTCAAATAGTTTCGGCTTAGATTAGCGAGATTTTTACTAATGCTGGCAAAATCCGACGTTTTCTGATTTTTAGTATTTTTAAACAAAGTTTCCAAGTCGAAAACAATTAAAAACTGAATTATTTCCATAAATATCGAAAATATGGAAAAAATTCATACAGACTTTCGACTTAGTTTTGTGAGTTCTCTACAAAAAAAATAATTCTTTTCACAGTTTTTTTTTAATCCAATACCAATAGTTTTTTACTTGAAAATAACACAAAAATTGGAAAATGTTATTGTTATGTACATATATGAGAGATACACTTAGGCACTTAAGCATAATATTCTACGTACACATACATACACACAGACGAACGAATAACGAAATGAACACTAGGTAAAACACTTGTATCACAAACGAATATCGATGGTTGAGTGGAAGATCGACCTATCTCGGCAGCCAGTTCGAAAACTCTCTCACCCCTATTGCGAATGTCGACTGGCAGCAAGAATGATAGAATAAATTAAACTTAAGTTAAATTTATTTTGCCTCTGGCTGGGCTCTGTTAAAAGTCAATTGTCTCTGGCTGGCCGCTCTTAAAATGCGCTTCGCCAGTTTTGTTGGTATTTGACAGTTTCCACGCTGATTCGTTCTTGGACCTTCTCAATAAATATACGTTCTCTGAAATTACGCTCACAGAGAGCCAAATAATGAAAAAGTACAGAAACTCAAAACTAGCAGAAACTAGCAAGTAATCAGCTGATGAGTGTATTTGACTATTGAAAATATTTGGCGCGAATTTATGTTTATCCATTTTGACAGCTGCTAGTTTCTGCTAGTAAAAATTTTACTAGGAGAAATTAGCAGGAGAGCCAAAAAAAGAAGAGCGTAAGATCGAGAGAGAGCTGCTAGTTTCTGCTAGTTCTTTGGGTTAAGAAACGCTTTCCAGCAGAAATTAGTAGCCCTGTTCGCGTACGCAGTAACCCGTACTAGCTTTACTGGTTTTTTACAGAAACAGAAAGGTGCTCTCTGCAAAAGGTGTTCAGCCCCTCTTCTTGGGCAACAGAGAAAGGAGTAGTGAGGGTTATAATCGTTTTGGAAAAAATCCAAGTTTCCGCTGTTTTCAAAAAGCTCCCAAGGGTCTTTACGAAGGGGAGGGGGTGAGGGGTGACTTTTCATAAAGCGGCGTTCATCCTCTTTCGTTTAGGGTGGCTTTGGGGAGCCACGCCCCTCCCCCTCCGCCCCCACCCCTAAATCACTGTACAAATTGCTAAAGATTTCCCAAAAATTGTTTAAAATTAGTGTCTAGCCGCCAAAATGTAATTAAACAAACGCAAAATCATACATTTTTCACAATTTTCTAAAGCTTCGCTACACCATCGAAAGCAAAGTTCTGTCCGACAGAAGATCCGATACTCAACGAAAATTTCGACACGGTTGCATAGCTCATAATGCAAATTTCACTTTCGATCTTCCATAACCAGCGAAGATCGAATCGAATGTAATTCATAATAAGGGCCAAGATCGGCAAACTACATCCATGGAGCCAAACTTACGGCACTTCTCATTTGACAATGTAGATCACGCTGAGTGTTTTTGACGTATGTCATTCTTGGTTGTAAACCAATTTAAAAATAATAATCAAATGCTTTACTTCAGACGCAACCATACTTTTTAGTTTCATTCCCTAACTCGCAAGAAGTTGCAAGAATTTGCAGGAATTTACCAGAAAGCATTCCCGTGCTCAGTTCTCTGGCTTCTTTTGCCTTTTGACAGTGTTACAGGTTTTAACCCAGAAAAGTTGGGGAACGCAACTTTTAATTTAACTTTTACATATAAAGTGAGCTCTAAAGTTAAACGTCACTTGAGAAAACGGCCCTCAAAGAGCTTTTTTAAAGTAACATTTTCATAAAAATTTTCAGAGCATTTAAAATCTTATTAATTTTTTTTTATCGATTCGGATGTAAGTTTTCTACTTTTATTAGAAAAATCCCTAATAAATAAAATAAATAATTGTATAACATTAATATTAAGGGTTCTATTTTATACCAAAACCCAGGATACCATGCGTACACAGAAACCACATGTTTTACAATTTCAATTGCATAAATGTAGAGCTAAGTCTCGTATCATTTTTACACATTCATGTTCCTGGCATACGGGCGACGGTAGCGTCACCTTAATTCACAAAGGCTCTAACCAACAAATTTTTAATTTTACAGGAGAAGAAATAACTTTACGGGCCTTCATCTAGAGTGATAAACTTGATAAAATGATAAACATATCATTTTGATAAATGAACTGTCAAACTTTGTATGGAAAGCTATTTAACCAGAGTGTATCACTTTATCAAATGATTTTGGTGGATAAATGTATAAATTTCAGCAAAATTCGACCCTAGCGGGTTACGAGCTGGGCCGCTTTTACTACGAACACAAAAAGGATATGAACCCAATGGAGAATGAAACATAACTAGCGAAATAAATCAAATAATAAAAATTTGTATGTAATATTTACCAAGGTGCCTTCAGAAAGAATGCGAACATACCTGGTCATAATTTTATCATGAACGTGTTTTTTGCTAAGGAATTATTGCAAGCATCAATTTTGAATAAATTCGCTTCTGTATTAACTGATTTATCGAAGATTCCATATTTCTCTAAATTACCGTTATGTGTGGGTGTGGTTATTGTCCGATTTTTTAAATTTTCAGCCGTTTTCTATATTGTACCAAGGCTAACAACTGTGCCAAGTTTGGGAGAAATTGGTTTAGCGGTCACCAAGATATACAAATGTAATCATAAGTGGGCGTGGCTACGACCATTTTCCAAAAATGTATACAATTCTTATTTTACGTCCAAAAATCATTGTAAATATCAATTTTCAGTGAATAAGCTTCAATATTTACTAAAATGTCGCAATATCGTATTTCTGAAAACTACCGTTATATGGGAACATACCTTGGGTAAAGGGCAATCTATATACCAAATTTCGTTGAGATATCTGAATTTTTGCTCGAGTTTTCGTGTACACGGGCGCACGGACGGACGGACAGACAGATAGACATGGCTTAATCGACTTCTCTTTTCATTCTGATCATTTATGTATACATTTGTCTATATCTATCTCGATTCATTTTGGCTGTTACAAACAACCGTTATGGGAACAAAGTTATAATACCCTTGTGCACAAGTGCGCTAGGGTATAAAAACAGGTAGAACTTTTTAAAAAATAGCATGTAACACCGTTGTTTTTTTGAAGGTGTATTTTAATACATCCCACCAAAGTCTGTGAAAAATGAAATTCCGAAAAAAAGTGTTGGTTAGGCCCTTTGTGAATTAAGGTAACGCTATATCGCATGGAATAGTTGCCTTTAATTTCAACTCGGTTGTCCATTGGTTGATAATCTATTTAGGAGGGTTTTAGTAACTTCGTTTGGTTGCGACCGGTGAGGCACATATACATTAGAATGATTATTGACCTTATGCTTGTGCATATTACCATGCGATCTGAACGTCTTGGGGCAAAATGAACAGGTATATAAATGTGTACCAGTATGCATTGTCTCATGCTCCTACAAATAAAGTAAATATTACAAAATTTACATCGATTGTATGCAATCATAATTTTACCCTTAAAGCCTGTGAATTTTTGAATTCTTTGTTACACATTGCGCATGTAAAAACTTTATCTGTGTGATAATACCGTATATGCGCGGAAAGAGCATGCCGAGTCGCCTTTTCCATACCACATTGCGTGCACCTAAATTCTTGTCCGGAAGCTTGATCACGGTGTACAATCATGTGTTTTCTTAGGCAGCGTGCATTTTTCAGCCACTTCAGGCAAATTTTACATTGTTCTTCCGGACGCGGTACTGTGCTATGCATTGCTTCCATATGGGTAATGAGGTTCTGTTGTGTTTTAAGACACTTCCCGCATACATCACATACAGAGTCATAGGTATTCAAATGGACTGCCTTTTCGTGCTGCCTTAAGACTGCTGATTGGGTGAATCTTAAGCAAAGAAAACAACAATTTAATATAAAAAATGGTTCGCGGCTTTTTAACAGATTTTACCCTTTGTTACAAGTTTTGCAAATATAATTACGTTCTGTCGTATGGCTGGACTTGATGTGATAGTCTAAAATATATTGTTTGACGAACTTGCGGGGACATAATTTACAGGAATAAAACAATTTTTCAGCGTCGGGATGTATTGTGTCCATATGAATTTGATAGTTGTTCCGACTGGCTAATTGTTTATTACAAAGGGTACATCTACGTGTGCAGTGAAAAGTACCAAATTATTAGCATTGGAGATAAACATTCAAGAAACTATGTTAAATGTAAATTTTCTAAACAAATAATTACTTGAAAAAGTCTGGGTTTTTGTGCAGTTTCAGATGATCTACATATAATGTTCGTTTCCGATAACGATTATTGCAACAAGGAACATATCCCACACAATTGTGTTCCAGACGAAAATGCTTCTTCAATTCATTGAAATCTTTAAGTGGTGCCGAACACAGGCAACAACTTAATTGTGTGTTTTCTGCTATGAATACGTCCAATTCTCGTATAAATTCTTGAGCATCCTGTTTTCTGTCCTCCTTTTCTTTTTCTTTTAACTTTAGCTGTTCACTGTCTCTCATTTCAATACTCGGTTTAATTCTTTTCGTAGAACTCTTAGTTTTTTTTACAACTCCATTTTCACTTTTTGATAATATCTTTTTTGGGTTCCTTTTAGTGCTTTTACGGGTTTTACTTCCAGATTTCATTAATTCGGTCAGAGGAACTAATAATATTTGTAATAAAATTGCCATCGATAAAACGAATAAGTACCTACCATCTTCGTCCGATGGCAATACTGGGGAAAAAATTGAATCCCGGTCCACTGATGTTTCATAATCTTCCATTTTAGATGCTTGAAATTCTAGTCCATCTGCAAACACATTAGGGTGTAACACGGTCATGTCGATTTCCGGCTCGCGCAACTCATTACTTTTGGAATCAATGGGAGAGCTTAAATTAGCTCCTGGGAAATCTATCGTTTCAAGGGCATCAATGTCCGGTTTTATTTCAGTACAAACTAAATCCGTTTGAAGGGTTTTTTGCTTCTCATTTATACTTAACCAAAACCGATGGAAATCGGATAAAGTTTGCCAACACGTTTCGCAAATTTTGTTAGAAATAGTATCACCGGCCTGGACCTGTGAAAAATATTGAGTCAATTTAACACCCTTTTACGGTATCCGACGGATACCATCCTTGGCTGTAGTCCGATTCGTATCGTCATAACAAGGGAGGTTGAAAGATTAGATTCAAGCGAATGGTATACGTAAAACCGGAAGAGCTATGTATCCTACAAATTACATTCGCACGAATCTTAAGCTTCCAGCCAGATATTGTGTGGATAGCATACGTCGGATACCACATTTAGCCAGGATTGTCTTACCTCGATGTTAAAGTATTTGGCAACAGTTTTAGCAACTTCGGTTTCCCCATCCACATAAAAGAATTCGTACATAATATTATTTGATTCCTCCAAGCACAGACGGCAAATCATTTTGAACAATCAAAAAATATTCTAGTTTTCAGAAATTTATTTACACTTCTTCCTCTTCTAAAAAGATAATTGCTGTTCACAGTTACCAAGGCGTATTCTTATTAGGTTGCAGTGTTGCCTAATTTCAACAATGGTATATGTATGGAGCCGAAGACGTCGATAACGATATTCATGGCACTCAAGGCTGTCAAACGATCGTAGGGGAACAGACTTGGCTCAGCAGATAGACGATTCGACATTCTGCACAATGAACGACGACGCACCCACCAGGATTATGGGCCGGTTGTTCAATGTCTGGTTATCACTACTTGCCGGTTAGACATCATTATCGACGTTTTTGACACCATGCTTATAACATGTGATCGATAAAGCAGTCGTTGTATTTAACAGGAGCTTCTACCTCTGATTTGTGCAAATCAGACATTGAACAACCGGCCCTTAAAGTTCCTTTTGCAAAATTTTCCTTTTAGCTAAAGTGTAATTTAAATGTTTTAAACAAGAAGTGTTTTCATAACAGAATTGCAATTGAATAATAACAAGAGGTTAATTTATATGGAGATACAAAGCTGGCAATGCTGATCTCGGCAAAATTGCATCAGCTGATTGTAATAAATATGTAATCCTAACTACGAAAATTACATTTTTTTTCTTACACCCTTATACCAGTCCCCACCAAAAAGTTAACCATCTCAAATCGAACTTAACCACATTACTAAATATTGCTGTCCACACTGCGATTTGAGGTTTATAAAACAGTACAAATGTAGAGTACAGTGTTCGGACCTCCAAAACTTGATTCAGGACTAAATCGATTCAAAAATCGGAGCAAAAACAAATTTTCCGTCTGGAATGAATTTTTTACTTTCGTTTCTAACATTAATTGTTTAAATAAATATTTTCTATTCATGCAAAAATAGGAACGCGAGGCAAGGATAATATGTTACATATTTAGGTAATTTTTGGCATTTTATATAAAGTAGAACGTATCTAACACTTCATTTTTTAAAGAGCAATAGGATCTAAACCTTCTCACCTTTATATAAATTTCATTCTACATTATTTTTTAACAACTTAAGGGCAGTTTACTCAATATCTGGTTAACACTTATCTGCGGTTAACATTCTTATCGACGTCTTCGATTCCATGCATACAACGGGAGTCGGTAACGTCGATAACGATGTTTAACCTGTGGTTAGTGTTAACCAGACATTGAGTAACCGACCCTTAGTAAAGTTCTGCATCCGCCAATTTCTACAGCACAACATCAAAAATTAACGAAGTTACTTTATTGACGCATTGCTTTGAAGGAGTTACTTTTTAACAATGAGATTTGGCTAACTTTCACTGAAACTGGTGGCGGAGTAGAGCAGTAGATTTCAAATTTTTTCAAAAACAGGAGTAAGTCTAATCTGATCTTAGTGAAGTCCAAACACTAGTAGGGAACGATTTTTTTTTTTAATTTTAACGCTAAAGACCCACAGATGTCGGGAAAACACAGGTGAAATGGTTAAGTGCTATCATTTTTATATGGCGAAGCTACACTAAATCAAGTGAAACCCGAATTTTCGTAATTCGTAATTCGTAGCTACGTTACGAAAAACCCAAAATCGACATGCTGCAACCCTTGCGGAAAAATGTGCAGCATTGCCAGGTATCAGTTGGTTTTCGAACTCAGCTGTATGAAGGAAAACAAAGTGTAAAATAATTTTAAAAAAACCTCATCATGTGCTTGTTTATAGTAAAATTTATTGATTTTAAATATTTTGAGGAAAATTATGGATTCTGGTGCATTTTCAGTTATAGCAGCGGAGTAAGAGCGCGCTATGGCAATGTGGAGCTGCCGGGCACAGTAACCATAGGCGCATCTATGTCAGCTTCTGGTTGAATTGTTGAACCACAAGCCAGAACTCCTCCTATGCCTGAAGAACTGGTTCCCAATCCAGTTAATGCAATAACAGCTTCTTCCAATCCATTGAAAATATGCATTTTGTTAGGTCCATGTTGTTGTTTTTGTAGCAGCATACAAATTCCCCAAAGACTTTTTGGGGAGTGTTGCTGGAGTGACAGTCCTTGGCCAGATATAAATCTGGGTCGTTCCGGTTACGTAGACCCGACTGTCGTGGGAACGTGTTAGGTCCATTACCTGTTGCGCTTGCTTCTGACTTCGGCCGCGCTTAGGGATTACAACTCTTAGGGCCGGTTACTCAATGTCTGGTTAACACGAATGTCCGGTTAAACATTCTTGTCGACGTATTCGACTCCATTCATATAACAGGGAGTCGGTAACGTCGATAAAGATGTTTAACCAGAGCTTAGTGTTAACCAGACATTGAGTAACCGGCCCTTACTATTATTATTATTATTATTGTTGGGGATAGAGCACTGCGACCTTAAGATCTATTGTGCCCCCTTCATGGATTATAGTGTGTCTATTAATCCAGTATCGAGAGAAACTTTAGTATAGAACATACGTCTACGGATTTCACTTCGCCTTTGGTTATCAGATGTTCACCCAGGTGCCTCTTGCGTTTATGCATCAGTGCAGGACATTCTTCTAAGATGTGCATCGCTCATGCGAGTAAATTCCCAGTTTAGTCAGGTGATAGTTCAGCCTGCAGTGTCCTGTCAGAATTGCTGTAACAATTCTTAAGTTATTCTTTGATAAGTTCATACATTCCCTGAAGCATTTTAGGTTATATGTTCCTAAAAGTGCTTTGGACTGCTCTAAACCTAGTAGATTATCCCAGTAGTGATTCCGCTGAGCTTCTTCCTCTAGCCGAACTAGTTCAGAGAGTGCCCCTTTTCCCAAGCCGCAGGAAGGTTCTGGACCGGTGAAAGGGGTTGATGCACCTTTCTTCGCTAGTTTATCGGCAATCTCGTTTCCTTTAATACCAATATGTCCCGGAATCCAGAGAACCCAAACCCGATTGGTCAGATCAAGAGTATTCAGCTTGTCGAGGCACTCCATCGCCAGTTTAGATGTTACCTGGTGAGATCTGAGGGTCTTCGTCAAGATCGTGATGTTCTGATTCCGGTAGTTTCGCTTGATATTAAAGTCCTCGCAACTTTCTATGGCGTATGTTTCAGCCTGGAAAATAGACATATGTTTCCCCATGTTTTCCGAGTATCTTAACCTCGGTCCTACTACCCCTATCCCGGTACCCTCTTCGGTCAATGCGCCATCAGTGTACCAGGTAATCGTGTTTTGGTTTATCCGATATGTCTCGGTTATGCCTGCCCAGCTTTTCTTATTACTCAGTTCAGTCTTAAACCTCTTTGTAAAGGTGAACCTCGGATGCATGGTATCCCTCGGTATTGCAATGTCAGGGAACTTATTCGTAAGAATATATAACTTCCCACGACCAAGACACCTTGCTGCCCCGATGTTGGTACCAGTCATCCGTAGTAAAGCTCTTTCGCCTGAGCCTGTATGTAAATATGACGAGGGGTAAGATCCAAAGAACCTCCAAGGATGCGGTTGGACAGGTTCTCGTGGCTCCCGTTATGCATACGCATGCCAGCTTTTGTATCTTGGAGAGCACTTTGGTTGCTCCAAGTTGTGAAGTTCTATCGGTCCAAACGATGGCTCCATAAGTTATCATGGGTCGTACTATTGTCGTGTAGATCCCTCTCAGTATCTTTGGTGTGCAGCCCCAACTCTTTCCTGCCATGGACCTACACGTCATAAATGATTTTATAGCTTTCTTCGCAGTTTCTTCCACGTGTGCTTTCCAGAGTGTAGTTTTTGTGCTAGTATTACTCCTAGAAATTTAACCTCTTTTTGGTACATGATGTTGGTTCCATCTAGCCTTATCGCTTTTAGACTATCAAGCTTGTATTTCCTTGAGAATGGTATTATAGTGGTTTTTGCTGCATTTACGTTCAAGCCCACTTAAGCACACCATTTTTTGGTTACGTTCAGCCCTAGCTGGATTCTATCACACGGGTGTTTTCGAATTTCCCCCTGCATAATATTATAATGTCGTCGGCGTACCCCTGGCAGGTTAGTCCAGTATCTGTTAGCTCTTGGAGCAGTCCGTCGACGACTATATTCCATAGTAGTGGAGATAACACTTTACCCTGTGGACAGCCCCTTGTTGTTCCGGCAACAACCGTATTATTCGTACAGGTTTGTATTTCTACCCTTCTGGTGCGGAGCATGCAGTTGTTTGAAGGTATTCACCGCCCACCTAAGCCGGGGCTCGGAGCATATTTCCTTAGCCACTAACCAGTTTCCTCCGCTTATTTTACTGCACTGCTCAGTCCGATCTGTTTCGGAATGAGATGTAGATCCTGGGAAGTGAGTATCTATGAGAAATTTGATCTTCTCCTCCTCGCTCCCAGTGAAACTCCCATCACACTTCCGTAGACTTGCGGACGAAATACAGTTCGTTTTTGCCATTACCTTATAGAGTCTTGTACCCTCCGTAGTATCTTTTATGCTTTCACAGAAGTTCCTAAAGCTTAAACGCTTAGATTCCCTTATTTCTTTGTTGTACAGAGTTAAGGCGTTTCTGTATTCTGACCACTCCCCGGTTCGTTTTGCTCGATTGAACAGTTTCCGGACTTTGGTTCTGAGTTTACTTAAGTTGTTGTTCCACCAGGGTACATCCCTGGAGGAACGTACCTTACTTATAGGACAACTGTCTTCATATGCGTCAATGAGTAATTCATTGAAGCGCTTTGTAGCGAATTCTAGTTCTTTTACCAAGTGGTTCAAAAGAGTTTTACAGCTATCCACAAGCCTGATGCCGTTTTAAAAGAGTCTAAAGCGTTTAACCTGCGTGAATATCTGACATAATATTTAATTTGGCCCCATTTGTCCTTTTACACAGACCACGATTGCGAAGGCTTTCGCCTGGAATATAGTTGGGTATGCGTAAATTGGCAGACTTTCTGGAATTTTGGTCCAAATACGCCTGCCCCAGTACTCTCTTCATTCATCTTTGATCCGTCGGTAGTCCCTTCCAGGAATTCTGATCTTGTAGGGTTTATAGAAAGATAACTCGGGATTATCCAGTAATGGCTTTAGAACCTCCAAATGACCTCGAAGATCCCAAATTTTCTTGCTGATCATACTAGGCAGTCGTAGGGCGCTCCTGCAGGCCTCTTTCAAACTGGATAGACAAAAGAAAAACGCCTGTAATGACACCAATGGCATCCGTTGGACAGGTGCCCATAGCTCCTGTAATGGCCACGCGGACCAGTCGGTACAGCTTGCTAAAGGTGAAAACCTCCTTTACTTGCGTAGTTTTTGGTCACCAGGCCACTGCCGCATATGTGACGACGGGTCTTACTACCATATTGAAAGATCAATAGGTTAGTTTTGGTGATATTCCTCAAGTATTACAATAAAGTCTCTGTCAAATGGACAATGGTGGGCTTTACCGGTGAAATATTCGTGTAAACAAAGTTGCTAAAGTGTTTAAAGATACATATTTTATATTTTTTGCAAATAACTATTATTGTCGCGGAACCTAGCAAAATCCAATCTAGCCTACCAACCTACCAAATGGAAAAAAAACGTACCAGTTTTGGTAGGAAAAGCTCATGCTTGGCAACACTGAAGAAGAAGCATCGAACAAAAGGCAGTATTGCCAAGTTTTGAATTTGAAAAAGCACCAAATTTCGTTGTCGCTTATGATTGTCACTGTGCCATGATTTTGTTTAAATTTTTGTAAAATTGCTTAGCACACTTACGATTGCTATAAATTTTGCTTCCATTTTTTCAAGATTTTTTAATTTGAAGTCTTCAAACTAAAAACAAAAGCACCAAAAACGCACCAAGCACAAAACTCAAAAATTTTCGCGTTTTGAATACAACAGTGAATGTAAACAAAAGTATATTATGACGTCAGCGATTGGGTGGATGCTGTCAAATCGACGAAGAGAGGGTTAGCGGTCCGCGAATGGCGCGACCTCTATTTTCTGGATCGTGATTTCTACTAATAAAGTAGCAATTTATTAATGCAATAACATTTTGGATAATATTAATAGAATATAGCTTCAAATAGTACATAAAAAAAACACAGTTAGAATAGTTACTATAGTCAAGACTTTATAAGCATACCAAAATAACTTTAGTATGTACAGTGTACATCAGGGATAGAATTCCAAAATTTCAAAATGAGCCTAATGGTCTGAAAGAATAGTGTAAAAAAGGAGATGAAAGTGCCACAAAATTGAAATTGCTTTCTTTTAAGGCTTTTTAGGAAGCACATGTATTTTTAATAAATAGTATTTTTAAAGTACTTCATTGAATTATTAGAGTAAAATCATAGTAAAAGTTAGTTAAGACTTCGGTTGTCATAGCTCTAAGTTTGCATTTGGCTTTAAAAATTACATACAATAAATAAATAGAACACAATATTCCAATTACAAAGGGGGAAACTACTGAAATATAAATATATACTGTTTACAAATATACATTCACCTATTTACGAAATAATGCCAGTGCGACATTTTGACCAGTTTTTACATTGAATAATTTTTATTAATTTTATATAGTCGGCCTTATTAACTGACTTCACAACAAGAAATGGTTATCAATTCGACGAAATATTTATTTATATTTGTTTTATGTATGTTACCGCATAACTTTTACCTTGTTAACCGATTTCTTATTTTACTTGTTTTAATTTTTAAGTGATTTTAATTTTCAATTTTCGGGTATATGACTGTTTTTTATATACTGGCTAAATTTCTTAAATTTATGATTGTGCCGAATCCAAAGAACGTAGATAACAAGAAGGGACAAATCGTTATAACTGTAGCGAAAGTGCGCAAGAACGACGTGCCTTCTCTTTTCATCCAAGCAAAAAAAGCACTAGGGAAAACAATTATAACGAGTTGACCCTTCTTGTTATCTACGTTCTTTGCCAAAACTGAATGAATTGTGCCAAAAGTGCCAAAAACGGCACTATTGTGCCTACTTTCCCATCACTGGTGTACATTGCACACAAGTCGTGGCATCGAAAAAAAATACATCGATATATCGATGTATATCGGAAGGTCCATAAAATCGGTTTTATTCGATACATCGCATAGCAAACATCGATGCTTCCGATGCATCGATGATTTTTTTGCGTCCCTAATCTATTTGCAATTTATTTCGACTGGTTGAAGGCAACGTGGGGACTTTATTTGAGACATGCGAAGACATTGGATGTAAACTGCAATTGTCGATACTTATACTAGAAGTCATGGATACACACAACTGCCTCTTTCAGCAGCCGCAGCCTCCCGGATTGAGCCATAAGGGTTGAAATAATCAATAACATTCGTGACAAGTTGTAATTTGCTTTTTTCCAAATCGCAAAATGGATTTTTGTATATACACAAGTTAGTTTCAATAAAAAGTTTGTGATATTATATTTGTGCGTACAAAGGCTTACCACGGGCGGTCAGAACCGGGTGCATGTACGGCATTTGATTACTTGCAGTAGCATAGCTTTTTTTTAATAAGCGGATTGCTTTTTTTGAGGTTTGGGAAAGTTGGCTGGTTTTCACCGCCGTCAGGTTATTCCTCTGCTTTTAATATATGGTTATTTGTATGCATCAATGGAATGCGTCCAAACGTCGCTCCACTGATACACGATGGTAATACTGCTGAGGGCCAGAACCCCGTGCAAAAGTTTCTGGGGGTCTACCCTGTAATACGATACGAAAGAGAAATGCGATGCGATAGGCAATCGTCACAGCATATTACTTACGGCGTATTTACCTTTCGCATCGCATTGCTCTTTCGCATCGTATTACAGAGTAGTCCCCCTGTTTATATATGTATCATACGCAGGTATGGGCAGAGAACGAGCACGCGCTCTAAGTGCTCATTTACACACGGCGATTTTTGTCGCCGCAACTCGACGTTTGTAGGAGAGAGCATGACGAGGAAAGGAGAAGGGCACCGAGTGCGCGTGCGGGAAATTTTTCCAAAACGGATCGTTGTTTTCTTTGCTTTGTTTATTTTTCGCTCGTTTTCCAGTGAAACAAGATGGCGTAGAACCCCCTAAAAAATCTACTTTTTTCACTCTCTTGTTCATACGTGATCTTGTGTCTTTCGTTCATGACGTCTACATTTTGAGACATCTTTAGCATCAAACTGTAAGCACCTCTTTCTAGCAGTCGTCGCAAAAACTCAGTATATCCTGTAAAAAAACTGGTTAAGTCCTTTATGGGGATAAAGTTTCCAGAGGTGAAATTTTAGGTAGCATACAATTTCTTACACGCGTGGTTGCTTTTCAGCACCAACGCAAGAAACTTAAGAAATATTAAAAAAAAAATATGCGTATAGTGCATTAATTTTTGAAAGAAGTACCATATAATGTATATACTCTGATTAATAATATGAAAAATGGATTAGAACCGCCGTTTAATGTTATATTTGATGCAAATTAATTATGCCACTCGGGACGCTCTGCGCATTGCCACTGAATATTAGGTGTACTTAAAATTACATCCCTGGTCCTTCATCTTTCTGCATTGCATCCACGATTGAGAGTATTCTATCATTCTTGCATTGCATCGTGGTGAATTCACATTTCTCAGAAGTTTGACAACAAAACAAAACGAAGTGAGTATTTTATTTGCTAATTTTTTCGATTTCTATTGTTTAATGTAAATTTTATGTCTTTTTAGGATATGTTGAGGCAAAAAAGAAGGCGCAGTTGGAAAATGAATGATGATGGATTAGTACGAAGTAGCAGCGCAGGCACATTTGGAAAATTGTGCCGATAAGCAAGATAAAATTTGGGAAAGCAAGTGGCTGGTTGCAGCATCTCTATGTATTAAAAAGTTAATTAATTAAATGAAATTGTGTTTAATAGAAATGTTAATAATCGAGTGGCGTTAGTTAAGCTGTGCGAAAAACATTTGACGTACTTTTTTTCGCCTTCTCAACGTGCTAAGTTACAAGTTAAGATGACTGCCACCACGGCCGGTAGGAAGCCCGAAGCAAAGGGCAAACAACCTTCTAGGAAGCTGCCTGCTGTCCCCCGAGTCGTAGCTGAAGTTCAGCAAGAAGCAGGTCAGCAAACGTGCTACCCTGATCAAGCGTAAACTAAAGCGCTCTGCTGTGATTGCACTCGGCAAACGTGAAAACTTGTTGCATCTGAGAAATATCAAGCAAAATATCTCCGTGATGGACGCCGTGAGAATAAATTGCGCCGCCTGGCAAAGAAAAGCGGCTCATTCTAAGTGCCTGCGGAAGACAAATTGGCCTTTGTGATCTGTATCCGCGGTATCAACAAAGTTGCACCAAAAGTGCGACAGTTTGTTCCGTTTTCGCCACTTTAACCACGGTTTGTTCATCAAATTTAACCGTTAATATGCTACGCATTGCCGAATCCTATATCACATGGGGTTATCCAAATCTTAAATCAGTTCGTGAATTGATCTACAAACGTGGAATTGTCAAGCACAACCATCAACGTGGCCCAATCTGTGACAACGTTGTGATCGAACGCAAATTGCACAAAGCGCACGATATTAAGTGCGATCCCACTTCAAGAAAGCATCCAACTACCTGTGGCCATTCAAGCTCAACACCAACCGGTGGCTGGCGCAAGAGGGCTAATCACTACGTTGAGGTTGGTGATTTCGGTAACCGTGAAGATAAGATCAACAAACTGCATGCGCAAGATGGTTTAAAGAAATTTTTTGGTGTACTAGGTGGAGTATTTTTATTGCAAATATATATAATATATAAAAACATAAAATGTTTTTTTTTGGTAACTTTCTGAAGGTTTAACCCACAAATATGCCAAATGGAAGGCAGCTTATATTGACGACTTCTTGAATAATGTCGGAATTCCATTGCCGTTTGTAAAGGCCATTTCAAAAGGCTCCATTCCACAAATTTAATTTTTTTTTGTTTTCAGCTCATTAACGATGCACCCAGGATTGCATTTACCGTCTATGAAAATATTTCACGAAGCGTTCCAAAATTAGCTCCGAGCAACTAAAAGTTGGTTAAAGTTAAGTGAAATAGTTTTTATTTAATATTTATTCCTGGTATATTAAAAAAAAAATCATGTCAATATTAATGTATGAAATGAAGTAAATAAAAATCGAAGAATATATTTCTTGAATATTTTGTCATAGAGCCGTTATTAAATAAAGACATAACTGCGTCGGGCATTGGTCCCGACGTATATAGAATTAATGCATTAGAGAGAGATTATTATACAAGCTCAACGTGGTAATTTAGGTATACTTACATACGTATGTATTTACCTGTTACTCGCCTGGCATATACTTCAATTGCGAAAATAATGACATTTATAATTTATTTAGATGCATATTTTAGCTAAATGTTATATCGTCGCCAAGATAAAAGATCGTTGCATGTTACTTTCGGCAGGTTTCGGGAAATCACAATTGAAGTTTGGAATGCAATTTCTCAGAAACTCGACTACATATTTTCTCCAAAGTGTCGGAGAATGCTATGTACTAGTTCACGAAATTCTTAAATTATCTTATTTTTTAGTTTACTGTCAACCATTTATGAGGTTAATAAAATTTTGTCGTATACGCCAAATGTGATAACATTTTTCATAAATTACCGATACTCCACACTAAACCGCCTAATCGTGAGTCTCGCCCAAAAAAAAAAAATTCGCCAGATATGTTTTCACCCACCCGTAGTGAATACACGGAAACGAAAAGTGAAAGATGGTCCGGTTCGAGAAAATGAAACTCATGATAAGGCTGAATATGTCGGAAACTAAAGCAGATATTTAAAAATACAGATGACGCTATTTGAAGGATCTTGATTAGTTTAGTACGACCGCATTACTAACGTAATTTGTACCAAATATTTTAGTCATTACTCGGAAACTAAAGAAGATATCCAAAAAACTGTTAAAAAAAGCGAAATATCTGATTTTAAAATATATAACTGCATCTTTAACTACAACCTGTCAAAATAACGCTTACGGAAATTTTCCATCCAAGCGACGATATTTGAATGTTACTGGCATAATTTCGAGCCTGTATGTAAAATTTCGGGAAAATGTTAAGAAGTATATTCATATGCTGAAAAGATATTTTCGCAGACTCACCATTTATTTAAAGTATATCATCAACCTTATTTCCAATTCTATGAATAAATCGCTCCCATAACTTAATTTGTGCATTCAATATATTTCACAATTAACTTAAATACTAAATTACAAATATTTGTTCAACGACCTCGACACAGTAAAATAAAAAAAAAAAGGATTTATTGGAGAAATAATTATTCTTAATACATTTATATTTCAGCGAAACCTGAGATGTTCAATCGCAGTGCAATAGTTTTCTATCCATTTTTCCAGTGCTAAAATAATTTCCACCACATAAAATTGCTGCACAACACCCTTTTTGACGAAAAAGCGTTGCTTGCAACACTAATCCTTTATGGGGACCAAATTTGGTGGAAAAGTTGCTAAGTTTGTTTACTGGATATACTGAGGCAAAATCGCCTCAAAACTTTGCTGGTGTTGCCAGACATTTCTTCTTTGCGTGCATTGTAATTATTTAACTTAATTACCAAATCCTAATATTTCGTCGGCTGGGTAAAAGATTGTAGTAGGCGCCATTTTGACGATTTTTAGTTCTAGATGCAACTATATATTTTGAAATAAGGCCTTTCGATTGGTGTTATCAGTTTTTAGATATCTCCTATAGTTTCCGAGATATTGACTACAATTTTTTCGATAATTTATTAAAAAATTAGTTAGTGATGCAGCAATAGCTCTGATCCAGTACTCCATGAACTTACAGGATTTTACACGAAATTGCAGGAAGTTGCAGAAAAAATGTTCCCGTACTCCAAAATCCTGTAAATGAGAGCGTCTTTTGGAGAGTTGTGTAGAGAATGAAGTTGCAAGATTTTACCCGAACTTTTTCTTCTGGTAAAATCATGAAAAGTGTCAAGCAATCACTGGTTGACGTTTTTACAGGAAAAATGGTTTTTTGTTCCCGTACTTTTTGTTGTTACTCACTTTTTACTCTCACTTCAGAGAGTAATTTTGCTGTTTGAGTTTTACAGGATTTTTCACGAAAAGTATTGGATCAGAGCTAATATTAAACTAATCAATATGTTAAAAATGGCGTTCTCCTTTTTGGATATCTCCTTTAGTTTCCGAGATATTGAGTAAAAGGTGTCGTTAATTTTGCAGACATTTTGATCACATTTTGTCTTATTTCATATAAAGTGGCTACCAAATTGTGAACAAATGACGCTTACGACATAATTTTACTAAAGAAAATCCTTCATACACTCAAAACTAATTAACAATACACATTAAAAATTTAATAATTTTGTGAACTAGTAACATTTTCAGAGACTTTGGAGAAAATCTATCTTCGCGTTTTTGAGAATTTGCATTCCAAACTTCAATCACGATTTCCCACAACCTGCCGAAATTAACATACGACAATCTGTTACCCAGGCGACGATTTGTTATTCCTTTTCCTTGATTTGTTTCTTTTTTTCGCAGTTTGCTGCACCAGCCTTAATTTCAAAGCAATGGAGTACACTAAAACGTTTGCTCCAGCAGCCTTAATTGCAAAGCATGGAGTGTACTAAATCGTTCACTATTCTCCAATAGATTAGATGAAAAATGCAATATTTTCGCATTGATCAGAATTAAAGCACGTTTTTCGCTGTAAAGTGAACTGTTTTGACAGTTTCAATTCGTTCTACTCTTGTCTCTATTCTTTGTTTACTTGTGGTACACAAATGTCAACGGCCAGGACGGCGCAATCTTAGGTTCATTCCTTATCTTTTTGGACTAAAATCTGAAGTGTCAAAATGCCAGAGCGTAAGCAAAATGCGCTCACTAAAAGAGAATAACAGGAAATGTAAAGGAACGCAAAAAACCAAATTTTTAGTCCAAAGAATGGCAACAACAAAACTAACTTCAAATAAGAATGGAAATGTATGTACAAAACACATTCACACAAGCACAAGCACAATAAACACTTACTATATCAATTATTTTTTGCCTCCTTCCAATTTCAATTCACTTTTTTTACATTTTAGATTATTCTCACTTTTTGCGTATTTTTTAATTTCCGTTAATTTAAATTCAATTGAGTTTGACACTTTTCAGGATTTTGCCAGAAAAAATTCTTCTGACTAAATCTGACTACTTCGGACTGAAGAGAGTCACTCTCACTGAGTGTTGCTCTCCCATTTTTGCTGTCATTTTCGAGTTAAGGAACGCTTTTTGGACTAAATCTGACTACTTCGGACTTTTTCGGGGAGATAAGGAACGGAACTCTTGTATTCTATCATTTTTGAAATGAAACGAGCAACACCAAAAGGGAATGTGAAAAATCGCGTCGACAAAAGTTTCCGTGTATAAACTCTCTAAGGGCCCTGTCACAAATTAATAACCATGAACCGCAAAGATGCGATTGTATGTTGTGGTGGAGGGGGAGGGGAATGTTCTCTTGCGAGTGTCGTGATTGTTCCTTCGGCACATCTGGTCACCCTAATCATTACAGCATGGCGGCAGGTGAGATAAATACATAAAGTGAATAGTTGCGTTCCAGCTTCGTGTAAAAACCTGTAAAACTGTCAAATAACAAAATTACTCTCTTGAAAAAGAGGAGCAAGAGCGAAAAAATAAAAGTCACCTGGAACGCGAAAAATCTCTTTTCCTGTAACTACTTCCATTTTTTTTTTAATGTTAGGCGCCATTGAGACGATCAAATATCTTTATCAACCGTCTCGCGTTTTGCTTGACAAAAAACAAGCACACTTGCCTTCTGATCGTCGTGGTGAGCAAGTGCGCGGACAAGAAAAAGAAATTGTTTGTTGAATTAACGCGTTTATTTGAACGTTTGCGGGCAAGACACGAGCCAATCTCGCACATATGCAATGCTTGACGTATTTATTTGATTGTCTCCGTGGCGCTTAATTTTCTTTGCTATCTGTTTTTGTTTACAAACGCAACCCTGCCTATCGTTTGACACTTTTCATGAACTTGCAGGAAGAAAAACTTCGGACTAACAGGCTAACCTAATATTCGCGGCTTGCGTTTTGGTACGCATGCCGTCGAATTTGTTTTTTTGCGTCACCCGAAATTGACTTGCATGCGTTTGCATTTGATTTCATTGAGCGAAACGTCAAATCAAAATGTCACGCAGAACAAAAATTGGAAATTGAGTTAGCTTCATACGCACGCCGTTCAATTTCGGTTGATCTCTCCAAAAACAGTAAAGTCGGAATTGTAATGCTATCACCAGTTCTACGAAAAGTTGTTTTTTTCCCATATAAAATACATGAAGAACTTTGGGCGCTTTGAGCGACCTCTAAATATTTTATGATTTCAAAATAAAACCAGTAAGAAAGTCTAAGTTCGGGCGGAGCCGAACTTTAAATACCCGGCGCAAGTATTAAATATATGTTTTTTCACCCTTCCGAAACCTTCCGCTAGATGGTAAGCCGAGGTGTATCAATTTTGAGTAAATTAGCGTCCTTCAATTTCGAAATATTAAAGTTTCAAGCATTTCTTAAATTTACCGTTATATGAGAATCGGCCGTTATTTTAGTCCGATTTCAATAATTTTCAACGTTTTGCTTACACGTGGCAAGTACAATAACCATACCGAGTTTGGTACAAATTGGTAGAACGGTTACCGATATACTTATATGTGATCATAAGTGGGCGGTGCCACGCCCATTTTCCAAAATTTTACCATAAACGTATTTCTTGGTAAAGAATTGTTGCAAGCATCAATTTTGAATAAATTAGCTTCAAGATTTAATGATTTATCGAAGATTTTGTATTTCTCTAAATTACCGTTATATGGGATGTGGGCGTGGTTATTGTCCGATTTTAAAAAGGTTCGGCGGTTTTTTATGCTGTACCAAGGCCAACAACTGTGCCAAGTTTGGAAGAAATTGGTGCAGCGGTTACCAAGATATACACATGTAACCATAAGTGGGCGTGGCTACGCCCATTTTCCAAAAATTTATAATATTCTT